GCAGCTGCTGGTGCTCGTGCACTCAACCAGATAGCTAGAGCAGCACAGACGCAAACTGCATGGCCTTAAGCAAGCAACAGCAGCAGCAACTGCAGCAGCAACTGCAGCAGCAGCAGCAGCAGCAGCAGCAGCAGCAGAAGACACCAGAGCACGCCTCCGGCTGCTGCTTGTGTTAAAGGGTCAGCTGCAGCAGCAAGAAATAAAAAAAGGAAGAGAAGAGGCGGAGACAGCTGGGGTGTACACACAGCTCGAAGAAAGCAGCAAAGGCTTATGAAGCAGCAGCAGCAGCAGCAGCAGCAGCAGCAGGAGCAGCAGCAGCAGCAGCAGCAGGGGGTGTGCTCGCAGCAGCAGCAGTTGCTGCTGTTTTGTGGAATATAAAGAGTTAAATGAGCAGCAATTTATATTTATATGAATTAAATTAAAATAAAATAAAATAAAATAAAAGGAGAAAGAGATAAAACATAAAAAAACAAAAAAGAAGAGAACGATGCTGCTGCAGCCGGAGCTGATGATGAGCTAGCAAGGGAAAAAGAGACAGAAAAAGAACAAAAAGTTTATTTAAATGGTATTTTAATAATTAAAAGTATAAATAAAATATTTTTTATTTTTATTTTATGCGTAGAATGAAAAAAAAAACAAAAAAAAAGGAGAGCTAGGGCCCCCTGTACATACACTCGATGCTGGAGGCATATGCAGCACCAGCAGCAGCGGTTGCTGCTGCAGCAAATAAACAGATAAAAAGAAGAAAAAAATATATTTTATTTTTTAAATATTAAAATAAATAAAAAAATAAATTAAATTTATGTTTTATAAAACAATTTTATTCACAAAAACACTGAAAATAAGAGCAGCAGCAGCACCGCCCGTCGATGCATACACCGGAGCTGCCTATACACCCCAACTACAACCACACAAACTGTATATAATAATTATTTTTTTTTTATTTTTTTTATTTTTTATTCTTTCTTTTTCTCTCCTTTTCACTCTCAACAGAAACACACTGCTATTCATATACATGTCGACTCGTGTAGCGTATATATCTGCATGCATTGGGGGGTTATGTTTTGTATTTCCCCTTTTATATATATCCGTGCATGCATGCATGCATGCATGCATAGATGCATGCATGCATGCATGCATGCATGCAAAGATCCATGAATGCATGCATGCAAAGATCCATGCATGCATGCTTGCAAAGATCCATGCATGCATGCATGCATGCACAGATATATGCATGCATGCATGCATGCATGCAGTTGATTCTCTTGGTCTTAGTGTGTAAAATGCATGCAGTGTATATAGATTTATTCTTAGTATAATATAATATAATATAATATAATATAATATAATATAATATAATATAATATAATATAATATAATA